ACAACAGTAGGGGTGGTGATAGAAACAGTAATAGTCATAGTAGCAGCAGTAGTAGTCTAGCCGTACTAGGACGAATACTATTAGATGTTTTCCTTAACTTGATTTTCACTGCGCGAAAATCATTTTCGGAGTTGTTTTGGCAAAAAGTGGAAAAAAGTAGTAGTAGTAGTAAGTAAGTAAGTAAGTTAGTTAGTTAGTTAGTTAGTTAGTAAGTAAGTAAGTAGTAGTAGTAGTAGCAGTAGCAGTAGCAGTAGCAGTAGTAGTAGCAGTAGTAGTAGCAGTAGCAGTAGTAGTAGTAGTAGTAGTAGCAGTAGCAGTAGCAGTAGCAGTAGCAGTAGCAGTAGCAGTAGCAGTAGCAGTAGCAGTCGCAGTAGCAGTAGCAGTAGCAGTAGCAGTAGCAGTAGCAGCAATATAAGTAGAATTAGTAATAATAGTAGTAAAGAAGTAATACTAGTTCTAGTAAGACTACGAGTAAGAAAAATAGTAGCCTCTCGTAAGCGGTTCCCCAGCAGGTATGGGTCCCGACCGGGCTTTGCCGGACAGGACCGGGCAGAGAGGCTAGTAATAGAGGTAGTAATATAATATACAACAGTAGGGGTGGTGATAGCAACAGGAAGAGTAATAGTCGCAGCAGTAGTAGTCTAGCCGTACGAGGACGAATAGTATTAGATGTTTTCCTTAACTTGATTTTCACTGCGCGAAAATCATTTTCGGAGTTGTTTTGGCAAAAAGTGGAAAAAGTAGTAGTAGTAGTAGTAGTAGTAGTAGTAGTAGTAGTAGTAGTAGCAGTAGTAGCAGTAGTAGCAGTAGTAGCAGTAGTAGCAGTAGCAGTAGCAGTAGCAGTAGCAGTAGCAGTAGCAGCAGCAGTAGCAGTAGCAGTAGCAGTAGCAGTAGCAGTAGCAGTAGCAGCAATATAAGTAGAATTAGTAATAATAGTAGTAAAGAAGTAATACTAGTTCTAGTAAGACTACGAGTAAGAAAAATAGTAGCCTCTCGTAAGCGGTTCCCCAGCAGGTATGGGTCCCGACCGGGCTTTGCCGAACAGGAACGGGCAGAGAGGCTAGTAATAGAGGTAGATAATATACAACAGTAGGGGTGGTGATAGCAACAGTAATAGTAATAGTAGCAGCAGTAGTAGTCTAGCCGTACTAGGACGAATACTGTTAGATGCTTTCCTTAACTTGATTTTCACTGCGCGAAAATCATTTTCGGAGTTGTTTTGGCAAAAAGTGGAAAAAAGTTGTAGTAGTAGTAGTAGTAGTAGTTGTTGTAGTAGTAGTAGTAGTAGTTGATAGTAGTTGTAGTAGTAGTAGTAGTAGTTGTAGTAGTAGTAGTTGATAGTAGTTGTAGTAGTAGTAGTAGTAGCAGTAGTAGCAGTAGCAGTAGCAGTAGCAGTAGCAGTAGCAGCAATATAAGTAGAATTAGTAATAATAGTAAAGAAGTAATACTAGTTCTAGTAAGACTAGGAGTAAGAAAAATAGTAGCCTCTTGCAAGCGGTTCCCCAGCAGGTATGGGTCCCGACCGGGCTTTGCCGAACAGAAACGGGCAGAGAAGCTAGTAATAGAGGTAGCAATATAATATACAACAGTAGTGGTGGTGATAGCAACAGTAATAGTAATAGCAACAGTTGTTAGTAGCAGTAGTAGCAGTAATAGCAGTAGTTTCAGTGGTTTCAGTAGTAGCAGTAGTAGCAGTAGTAGCAGTAGTAGCAGCCAGCACTGATCATTTGCAATTCCTGCAGCACTTTGGCAGATTATGTTGCGCAGGAATCCATTCATTACAGTTGATTCCTCTTTCCAATTTGATTTTCAATTCGCGAAAATCATTTTCGGAACCCCCGGAAGCTGACAAAATAATTTTTTTGAGAATGTGGAACCGGTTCGGTTCCATTCGGTTTGCGTAAGAATAATTGGCGGTTCGGTTCGTGCCCTAAGGGTGTGAGAATGTGCCTCCACCAGGGTTCCAGAACAGGAAGAGCACCTTTAGGTTGACTGCCCTTGGTCATATGGCACCAATAGCCAAACATATACCAAACATAAAAAAACATTTTTTTTGAATATATTGGTTGGGGGCAACTACATCAAGCTAAACAAAAAAATATAGATTATATTACCAAAAAGCATGTATGCTATGTACATTGTGTCGATTAAACTATATATGTTTGCAATCACTTTGATGTTGATGATGCTTGATGTGTCTTAGGTTACAGAAGGAAAAACACTTATATGTGAACAAACAAAATATGTTGCATATGTCTTATTGGTTGGCTCATGCTGCATCTAGATGGCAATTTCCATAGCTATGTATGCACCCAGGCTAGTAAACCCAATCACCCATTTTGTGTTTTGAATATGTTTTTTTTGTGTTTCACCTCATTGATTGGTCACCTGACATTGTATGTATAGCAGATTGTATGACACGATGAGATTCATTAAATTGAATGATATGTTCACACAAAAAAAACACCATTGTCACAAAGAAATGTATCTTTGAACTTGTTATTTTTGAAACACTCATCATGATCGAACATAAAGAGTCAAAGAACACCATTTTGACAATGATCACCTACATAGAGGAACACCTATACATACACTTATTTTCTTCCTCGGAAAGATATATCCAACTTGGAATATTGATGATCATATGTGTGAAATCAACAAAGAATCAATGGCAACATGTTGCCCACCAAATGCAGTGAAACCTTGAATGTATTGCACGCACGACTTCGCAGGCTGACCGATTACAAATCTCGCATCAGTTCAGAAAATGATCAAATGATTTTTAGTGCTTATGGCACCTGTGAAAACACCAACACAGTTCTATACATCATTTTGCTTATGACATTTCTGAAGATGTTTAATTTTCAACACAATCCAAACAACAACATTTCAAACCAAAGGTAAATGCAGCATTGAATTGGGGAATGCTATCAACATTTACATTGTCATTACAGTATTTCTTTTGTATGTCATATGAACATGTCAAAGGTTATTAGAATCTAGTTCAGACTTTCTTGAAAACATCAGATCATAACAATGCTAACCATAGAACTTGGTATGTTTAGCTCAGAAAGTCACAGAAGTATCACCTACAATTCCTCGTTTTCCTAGCATTTCACTTTATGTATAATGAATATAATTAATTACAGTCACAGTGACAGAGACACCTGTATCAACATACAGAGGATGATCAGGATGAATGAATACCACTATAGTATCACTGTATGATTTTTTGTGTTTTCCCATCAACGAATTCAGGAATTCACACGTTGAACAAGCAATGGCGAGTGCGTTGTCACGCGCTGAACGCATGCTGGTCATGTCAACTCATTGTCATGAGTTGGAAGATCTTTTGCTGACGCGGGGGCAGAACCTTGTTTGATACTTAATGTTGTGTTGTTGAAGTTCAAGTGGTTCCATACATGCAATGTGTGCATGTTGATTGAGCCTGGTATGTAGATAGGTAGTAGTGACAAACTGTAAAAGTGTGATGACAGTGTGATGATTGATTTGATGTTGCTCGTGTGTTTTGAAATATCATGTCAGGTTGTGACATATGTTTGTTTGCCAAGATCATTCATTGATTCATTGATTCTTTTTCATTATCAACACAGAGGCTGGAATCTGGAAGCTGGAACCATATGATTGGTCAAATACTCAAACATGTTTAGCAATGAATCAATCAATTCATTCAACTCACTAGAATTGCCAATATCTTAGGCTTATATCTTTTTGCGCTTCACTATACACGGGGCTATCAGATGGTGAAGCTCGCAAACATGCTGGCTGCGTTCTTGGAGGCCTGACCTCCAGACGAAAGGTTACATGGTCGCAAGTCACAAGTGGACATGTGCAACTATGATTACACTACATGAATTCAATCAACCATTAGTTTCTCAGTCAAACAACTAGACTTATTTAGTTTTTGTTGATGTTGCGATCAATATATGCTTATTCTTTCTTGGCAAAACAATTGATGATGAGGGACACAATCTCACAATCTCTTGTTTTACCCCTTGGTCATTGGTCTCTTGGTTGATCAAGGCACAATACACATAGATTTTCAAGGGACTTGCAAGGAATTGTTTTCAATGGCAGAAACTGCAGAAACTGATCAGCTGATTCAAAAGCCAATAAGCTTTCATTTCTGTTTGTTCAGTTCAGATCTGTTCAGCCAATATATGTTATATATATATGTATAGAATTATATAGATGTATGATGTATGATGTATGGTGTATAATGTATATTATATTATGATATGATTGTGATGTTGTTTCAACATCACAGTAGTCATGAGTTTCCCCAAACATCTATGTATAGAATAGTATGGACACGGGAAAATCACTGAACCCAACAGTTGTTGAAATTTGGCAATTTTAAGGGTTTCGAACCTTATGCTGTCAGTTTGTCAGCATGTCAGCCAGTCAGATTCTTAAGTTGTGGTGTCACAGTGAACCACATTGGAATCATCAGACCATCACATCATATATTATGAAAGGTCATACCACCCCCAAATTGTTTCTGTTGTCGTTCAACATTGGCAGGTAACAACTATACTACTATACTGTACTACACTTTTTATTTCCACCATGCCGAAACCCACAGGTCTATTGGTATCATGGTTACGGTTTTGAATTCTGCAATGTAGTAGTACAGGATAGTACCAAATATATTGTGGACTTATGACACTGACATATACTGATACACACATGCAATGCATGCCTGCATGCATAGTTGTTAATAGTTGTTTAACCAAATCCAAGCAACAGTCAACAGTCACGTTAATCAACTACAGATACAACGATACAAGTTACAAACTTGTTATGTGTCATGAATCATAAATCATAAGTGTGCATTCATCACCATCAGAATCATCATCATCACCATCACCATCATCATCATCATCATCATCAAGTGCTCACCGTGCTCACCCATATCCCAACATACACGAGCGTCCTACCGACACCGACACCTACTGGTAGATCAATGAATAAGTTAATACTAACATTCACCAGACCAGTAATGATCATACTGGGACTGATGTTAATTTGTGATTGCAAGCAGCATTACGCACGCAGCAGTAGCCATGGAGTCACAGTCATAGAAAGTCATAGAAAGTCATAGAAAGTCATAGTAGGTATTCCTGGTTTGATGTTCATGAGACAGTAAAACTCAACTTATTTTCAACTGAATGTAAAGTTAATGTTGCTGTTGACTGTTGACGACTGTTGGCATGTTGGCTGTTGATGTTTGTTTTTTTAATTGCATTGGTGAGTCAAGCCTGGCCTGAGCGGGGGAGTTTATATTATATATCAGTCATCAGTACAAACCAACCAACTACTAACACATAAATCCAAAACTGATCCTGTACAAGTACAAGTCATATAATATACTATATTAATAATATACTACTTAGTCACTGTGTGACATATCGGTTTCATCATCACAATACTGAGGTGACTCCACTGACAACATCAGGTGGCGAGATGTTTCGTAGTGAATGCTTGCTGAAACTACTCCTCAGTCAACGGGGAGTGGGAGATCAAGAGGCAGCCAAGCAACGATGGTCTGCTGCTGTTCGGATGGAGTATCAGAACCGTACTAAAGATGCAAACACTGGTGTGTTTCTTATCAGGGAAACTAGGGATGTGGCTCAGCAACCCAATCATGTTGCGGATGGTGTGCAAGCAGACCCAAAACCACTCCTACCACACATGGGATCATTTTTGGAACCTGAACCTGATCATGAATCTCAATCATCACGTGGTAGTGTTGTGTTTAGTCCTGCTGAAGATCCTCCGGCAAAAAGGCACTGTGGTTTGCTACGAACTTCAAGTATGATCAGTATTACTACGGTTGCTACTGAAGTTGCAAGTGCATCTGCATCATCATCATTGTTTTCACCTTCACATGTTGATCCTACAGTTCAACTTGCGAGTATTCCTACACCGCAAGGTATGTGGTCACATTGCAGAAAAGACCTTCAATCTTGTCACAAAAACTTCCTGATACATTTGGTTGAAAAAGGTGACGCAAAGATTTCTGAGCTGAAAGGAACAATCAGAACTTTGAACAAACAGCTTGTTAGATTGAATGCGTCAAAGGCCAGTCTTGAGTTGCAACTACAACAGTCCAATACCGATGAGGACAACCAGATTGACACAGCTTTGGATGTATCTCGAATAGGTGTTGTCAAACTTAGCAGTCGTGGAACCATCGCATTGGGATTGCGGAAGTCTCTTGCATTGACTAGTGCAGCGGGGTTTCCATTGGCATCACTTGTGGATGTGAGCAGGTACACAGTTGTGAAGGCTGAAATCTCTTGCTGGGCAGGTATAGTTGCGTTGTCCAGGGCATTCAACCGAATTTGTCGACATAGACTTGAACAAGCACAAAATTGGTTACGTGAACTACGTAGTTCAAGTCGAAACACATCATCATTGTTTCAGATTGTCGCAACAAATTGTGGTGGATCTGATATTGTTTCCCGGAACGCTACATCCCAGAGTTGTTTGCCTGAGTGTGGACAAGATCTTGCAATTGCTGAACACTTGGGGTTACCAACAAGCTTATCACTTGAAAGCATGTGTGGTGGTTTGATGAAGGGTCACATGATGGGGGACTCAGATTTGTTCTTCCTAGCTGGCACAGAATTTGCAGGGGATGCTACCAACTCCAACATTTGGCAGCAGTCCAAACTTGCAGGGTTGCTTGTGACCAGTCTACTTATGACAGACCACGACAAACTCAAATCAGTCGATGCTTTCCACAAAGCATTTTCGTGCTGGAGGACAGTGATCCTTATTTACTTGTTTTAACAATCAATTTTGTATGTGAGCAGTTTGTAGTTTGTAGTGGCTTAGTTGGGTTTAGTTGCAAATATATTATATAATGATGCAATGTTATGTTTGATGTTTGTTGAACATTATGCTGAACTTCTAGATGTGATATGTGATATTGTTTACACTATGATCTATTTGCTACAGGTTTGATCATATATGATATGAACCACACGTGTTCACCTTACGCCTTACGGCCAAGGACTGATCTACAGGTGGTGGCAAGCGGGACAGCGGGGGGCAATGCTGCAATGGTCCAGAAGCAACTACAATCTGTGGGTGTACCAACATGGGAAAATATTGGAGAAGATATTCAGTGCCTGGGCTATGGCAATATGTAAATTGTGGTATATGGATCTGTCATTGTTGAATATATCCATACTGCTGCGCTGGTACTGTGCGAACGGCAGATGTTTGTAAATAGTCTGCAGCCTACCTACCTCAGATGATCTGATGATTCTCATGATGAACCAGTGAGTGATTAAGTAAAACCCAAAGAATTATCAGGTTTGTAACAAAACAACATCAAACACTTATGACAGTTAATACGGTAGTTTGCTTTTATTCTACACAACTATGTTTATTGGTACAAATATAATTCAAACAAGTTCTACAGATCATGAATCATGAAAAGTACAGTATGTTTTGTGATTAGGATGTTGGCCACCGGCTAGCAGTTGTGTTCGTCATCACAATGTCTCAATAGTAGGTTTACTCGCATGATCCTCAAACACTAAACATGAAATGAACCACACATCATCGTTCATATCATGATCACTAACCACCATCACCATCACAATCATCACCATCATCACCATCATCACCATCATCACCATCATCACCATCACAATCACAATCATCGTTGTCATCATGATCATGATCATCATCATCAGTCATCATCATCATCATGATCATCTGCATCATCATCATCAGCATCATCATCACCATCATCATCAGTCATCATCATCAGTCATCATGATCATCATCATCACCATCATCATCTTCGTCATGACGGACCATCATCATCCCATCACAATCCTACCACATGTGTTCTTATTTTTCATCAGTATCATCGTCATGATCATCATGATCATCATCGTCATCAGCATCATGACATCATTAACAGTTACGAAGTTACGAATATGAAGTTCGAAATTACAAGTCATTGTCATTGTCCTCATCATAATCATCATTATCGGTATCATGGTTGGATTCTTTGTAACACCAAACAATCAAACAATATGCATCAGATTCAATCACCAGCAGTCAAATGAATATGCATTTCTTCATTGGTTGATGATGTATCAATATTGATCATTGATTCATTATTCATTAGCTGAATTATGGACATAACTTGACCTTGTAGAGACCATAGTGACCATAATATCTTTGCTCAAGTTGTCTATTTGAATCGAATATGTTGTACTTATTGTACTTGCTAACGTGCATGTAGCAGCATGTATTAGCATTGTTGAACTGGTTGGGTTACCAAATAACCGAAGGGGCAATGTATGTGGGGAAGCTAACAACATATATGATGTACGTGACGATATCTTGCACATAACTTAATCTATTCTCACAACCACCCATATCCATTCACCCACTATATATGGTTCAACTTTGACTTATGATTGATTGGATTATCCGACTCTTGAACCCCTTTCAAGTTGGGTGACTATTCTTTAGTTAATGGTAAATTGTTATGTCTGTTTGATGTTTCACTATGAGTATGATAATTTACATCACAGAACCATCAATCTTGATCGTGTTGTCTTTGATAAAACACTTTATTTTGAGTTTGAGTCTCGATTACAACTGATTGTAAATCCTAACAAACAAATCATTATCATTATTGGATAGTTTCAAGTTTCAAGTTTTTACTATTTACTGACATTAGATTTCCTTCAATTGGAAACATCTCCAGCACACTGCTCCAGGGATCAGCTAGACCTTCAGCACGATGCTCTAGAGTCCAGGTGATTGGTTAGGTCACCAGCAGAATGCCTTAGGGTGAGCTATATATTATATATAATTTCCTCAAAGCGCTATTGAAGCGGGAATGCCTCCAGCACGCTGCCTTTGGGCCATTGATTTCTCATCGAATTGAACATATCACAAGACATTATGACAATCCATATGTTACAGTAGGTTCGGATGTGTGACTGGGAGGAATATTGAACATTATGGACATTAACTGCGCCATTTGCAATTTACAATTCATAACGACAAGACAAAGGCCAAAGGCTATTTGAACAGTACAGTTTATTTACATGAAACAAAATGTTTTTTGTCCATACTGACTGACTGGGTTGAGAATATGTTGGTGGGGTTGTCAAAAGTTTTTTGATAATATGTATAAGATCAGACTAGACTATGTATCAGTTATGTTCATACGTGTCACTTGTCTATATATATATAAATCTATCTTAGTCACCTCACCTTATACATCAGGTCATAAAAGTTTTACAGCTAACATATGATCATAGTGATCATAAGATCCACAGAACTAGTGGGTTGATAGTCGATAGTCTTTAATGGCTTTTGCTTATCAATCAATTGAGGAATCAGGTAATATCATTATCATTTGCTATTTAAGTTAATGGTCTATGGGTATGGTTCCCCAAAACCATATCAATCCCCCCAATGTTTTATCTTAAGGACACATCTAAATCAAGTATCAGTTTCATCAATCCAATTCCCAATCTCAATGCCTGAAAGCCTCTTTGATAAAAAAGTTGGTCGTTGTCACATGAGGAAACCATGATAAGCCTCAACTAACCACCAAATCACCACTATGTAGCTATTAGTCTCAAGACATCACTATAATCAAACAAATTGATCGGGAACACCATCATCATATTCTGAACAGTACTCAACCGACTTACGATTTACAATCACATTGAAGCCTGTACCAAACCAAGAGTAACCATGAGATCCGTTTACACAAAACAAAAAGATCAGACCAGAGATGTCCTGTGTTTTATGGTTTTCTTTTCTGTTTTTTTTTTTAAGGGAGATGCCTTCTGGCCTAGCAAGCCAAGTACTATCACCACCACAACAGCAAAAAAAGAAAGGGATGCCAAGAGGCGCATGGGCGCATGGGTGTACTTGGCTCGATATCTACTAGTACATACGTCTAGCAAGCCCAAACTTGTTGTAGTCAGCTGATATGGATTCAATGATGATTATGGTGATGATGATGATCATGATGATGATGGTGATGATGGTGATGATGATGATGATTCTGATAAAGATGAACATGATGATGACGATGATGATGGCGATGATGATGGCAATGATGATGGCGATGATGATGATGATGATGATGATGATGATGACGTGATGATGATGGTGATGATGATGGCGATGATGATGATGGTGATGGTGATGATGATGATGATGATGACGCTGATGACCCTGATGATGATTGATTGATTGATTGATTGGTTGGTTGATTGATTGATTGAATGATTGATTCATTGATTGATTGATTGATTGATCGATTGATTGAATAAATAATGACTGGAATGTTGGTGGTCATAAAGATCTGACATCAAGGAGTTAACAATGCTGCTTTCGTTTAGTGATGTTCATATATATATATATATCATGGGCCAGGAGGGACTAACAACAAAGGAGTTTGCAATGAATGCAATGAAACTTCTGAAATGATTGGGATCTTGATTAGAATTATTATCTTTGAATTTCTTTTCAAGTGATTAGGAATATGTTATACAAGATGAATCATACAGAATCACATCATATCCAATCTCAACTCAACTATGACAGTACGATGTAATACTTTAGTGTTTCTTTACCATATGGCCATACAGCATTACCAGCTTCCAACCACACACGACAATAACAGTTTCATTCGCTCGCCCAGGAACGACAAGCTGCCACATGGGTACATTCACGTTTGGGCGGTTACAACTGATTGTGGACCTGACCAACAAGCTACCCGTAAATCATTGAGGACCATTTTCGCCAGTGGATCAAAGCTCTATGAGAGACAACTCCTTTTTGAACTACCCTGCTTGAAACATCAATTTCATCTGATATGTGCTGATGCCCTGAGACTCACTGACCGTATGCTGAAGAAGTTTGACACCAACACCAAAAAATACTTTGCTGGTCTTGCTCAGATTGTTCATTGTTGGAGAGCACATGCGAAGAAAGTATCACACGCATGGTCGTTGTTGTTTCCGGACAATGTTTCATCTGACAAGGCATCACGTACATTGCCACCTGTAGCAATATCTGGTAGATGGGGAAGCATCACATGCATCTAGGGCCGATGTTTAGTCAGTGTTTGTGTTTTGTTGTCAGAACAGGTAAAAAGCCAATGATTCCAATTGATTAAGGACTCTAAGACTCTAAAGACGGGACCATAACAAGTAAACATTAAGTAAGGTCTCAAGAGTTTCAATGTATTGGGCCAATGTTTGTACAACAAAGATCAGTTAAGCTTGTGAAAACTGTGAAAACATAAAATAATTCGAGTTGAAATGACAATGCTATGACAACACTGGTTGGTGATCTCATTGTATCTTTTGAATTCATCCATACTCCATAAACTATCATTGACTGAATGATTGTTGATATACGTCTATGATTCTATGGTTGAACGCAACATTAATGGCCTCACTATCACAATCATATGATTATGTATTTCTAAGGTACTGAAGAGTTCATGATGAACGGACCAGCTGAGCGCATTCGAGCGTCTTTGCTTGCAGTATTCGATGCAACACAGGCACGCATGGAACTTCAACGAGCAAAGGAAAACCTAGATGCACTTGAGGATGACGATGGACTGGACGAAGTGGAAGAGTACAAGCGGAAGGTTACCAAATGGATTCAACGCAGTCTTGGCTGTCTCAACGATGTGACATTTTGGTTTGTTCTGAAATGCTCCAACATCACAAGGGAACCTCTAACAGCCTTATTCAACAAAATGTCGAAAGATGGACCAGAGGGTGTATCAAAAGGAGCATGTAGATCAGATGAACTTCCAATTGTCAAACTGATTTGCATTCGGTTCCCTGAAGTCAAAAAGCTATTTCTTCAATTGTTTCAGAAGTTTGAATCGTGGTTTGCCGACACAGTGGACTTTGCTTTGAGAACGGTGTACCATCAGCATCATCAACAACATGTACTATCAGAAAAAGAATTGTCTTGCTTGAAGAAGATAGCCTGGAGCTTGATGATGCACAATTACACTGCGTTCATTCGAAGGCTGGTGCAACCATTGTCTCAGCACCTTTACCTGTATTGTATTTTTCTCGAGCTTTGTGTGTATGTTGTGTTTGTAGTGTTAATAAAAAAAGGGCTTACGTTCATATTCAATACATATCATATTACCAGGTTAGTCAGGTAACCAGGGATAGTCAAAGATACCAACAACCAATGATCAATGCATACACAACATCACAATTGTTGTTGTTTTTTTTACTTGGTTGTGATCAGTCTGGATTTACATTGGGGATTATGTATGAATTCATTTGTGGGATGTGCATGTGATCATGGTGCATGTGATCATGCCCAGAAACTATATAAACATGGACTAACTTCTGTTATCTTCACACTATCACAAAGGCATAGACAGGCATGGATACATATGCTTCACTAATTTCAAGCATCGCTGAACAATTCACGCAACAATACATTGAAATCATGTGTCATTATCACACATCAACATATCAACACAGCATCATTCAGATCCGGTTTAGTCAACACACTATCAGTTATGTTTGTCATCTGACATGGGTAGGTTTATTCTTGCATGTGCACTACAAATCGGCATCAGCAATATGGTGGTGAATCTTGTTCATTGTCCATTGTATTGTTATGTTTTGGTTCGGAAAAACAACAAACTAGTCAACACCATGTAATGCAATATATGTAACATATCATACATGACATACATGTATGATTTCACATACAACATCACAATACATATACACATACAAATAACTGACATGATGGCATGGGTAGGTTGAACATGACATGTGTTATGCATTTGCTCACATGACTCACATGTATGTAGCTGTTTGAGTGTGTATGGGCTGTGAATATGCAATGGTAGATTGTAGATGTGTTTTAACGTTGGGGCTTTTGATTGCATGACTGCATCATGTGCAAATATGTTCATGTGTTTGTGTAGAGGTTTGCTTTCTTACATTTGTAACTTTGAATGATCAGAGTTCATACAAACAAACAAGCGTTCAACTACTTTAGTTTCGATATTTTGTTTCCTTGTTAAACGTGATGGTACATGTTAAAATGTTCAGATTATGTTTGACACCACTGATGGTATGTCTGGTATGTCTGGATATATTAGCCAACAGGCTTTTAGCAGTTCACTTCTACCATTACTATTCGAACATTTGATTGATTTATTGGTTCATCATGTATTTGGCTAACCAACTACACCAACCAAAATTATATATATATATATATCAGATATCATCATTATGGGTCCTCGTGGATGGGTCGCAACTGGTTACCACAAAGATAGCTAAGGTATCCTTTCAGAATGTTTTGGATGCTTGCCAGTCATCCAGACAGAATCTGTGATGAGCGAAAGAGAATCTTGGCATAGACAGTCGTTGAATCCATCAAACTTAGCAAACTATGCACTAGACAACTCATGGCTGCAACTTCACAATGATCGGTATACGTTAAAAAATGAAATTGGTTTTATTGGAACACCATAGTCACCGAAGTCGAGCCACAACCACCCAAACAACCAATGATTTTAATGTTTTGATTCAAATGCTTCAAATGATTGGTAGTTGCTTCAATTGTTAGATCAAGTATTGTCGAACTACCTCTAGTAACTTCTTATTTAACAATGGTTGTCTTCGTTGTGATGATTTGATGATATCATCAGCTATCAGGAGTCGCAACTGAGATGCTACAAACGTTGCAATTTTTTGGCGATGGAGAACGTTGCAAACTGGATGATACTGCACGCAAGGTTGCACTGCTATGTGGCAATGAACTACATTTTGTGAGTACTACTGGTCTCTTGAACACTTCTGGTCGTCTACGAGCTATTTTGCTATCAGCAGGATTGTTACTTCGTACTGATATCCAGGAGTTGGAAAGTCTGAACTCAATGTTGAAGATTGCAATGCAAAGAGCAAACACAACCACAATATCACTTGAACTACTGAGCAGTCGCGTTTGCATTAGGAAAACCATTGCTTCATTGACTGGATCGTCCAACAAAGTCAAGATTGTCAAACCGATAGCAGCCAGGCTTGCCAATACAATTTACTTGGTGTGGCAAGAACATCGTGCAATTATCAATGATACTTGCAGATGGGCACCCACTGCGGATGTCAAGATCCCTGCAAACGACCCCAAGCTTTGGAATCCATCATCATTGCCAAACAAAGCACAGAAGTGGGCAATTCCTTTCAACAAGAAACTTATCAAATCAATTGACTCATTTGCAGACAAATGTGATCCTGACTCTATAGTCTTTACTGTAGCAGTGCCTGAGGTTCACATCAACGGCAAACATGCTTTACAGTGGCGTTGGAGATTCTTTCTTTCTGGGGAAAGATCACGTTCGATTGCAATGCTGATGGAATTACAACAAGTGGGTGTATCTGAAGATTCTTTTCTGGGTGATAGCTCTTGTGATGCATGGAACAAATGTTTCCCGAACGAGAATTCTTACACCTACACAATCAAAGACACCACTGACATAAGATCATCTCTGTTGATCATTGCAGACTTGTATTCAATGCTGACGCAAGTCAAATCACAGGGGCACCAACTGGGAAGTGTTTTCACATACCTTGTACCCATGCGGTCGTGTTTGAGCAACATTGACATCGACAAGACTACTGGCATTGCGTCAACAATTCTGGAACCATTACCAATACAAGATGATTGCGAACAAATTTGTGAGATTCGAAAACGCAAAGAGTACGTACGCAGAAAACAAACCACAGCTGCAGGTGCTTCGGGCAGGGGCGATCCTCCGGCATCAGCCATCGCTGATGTTGATCGAGATAGCGATTGCGGTTCTGATTTCGACAACGATATGGATGACGATGATGACGATGACAACATTGACGACAATGATGGTGAGGAGGATGATGTGGTTTCGGCATGGGGGGATTTGGAAACAACTGATGATCAATACATTGATGAAGATATGGAATCTATGGATGAAGCAACAGAACTGAACTCATCAATCGCAAAAGCAGGGATGAATATGAAATCAAAGAACGCAAAATGCAAACCGCTTACTGATGCTCAGGTTCAACAACTGGAAATATCGAAAGATACATCTGAAAAAGCATCATCAAGTAGAACAGTGATGATGAATGTTCATGATTTGGAAGAAGAAGCATGGATTCAGGATTCTGTATTGGGGTCTGGTATGATACATGCAACAGTTACAGTTCACAATGTTGAACAATGTCCACTGGAATCTCAAGAGCCAGACAGCGACTCAATTGATCGTGAATCACTTCATGCGTTGAAAGAAGCTCCTACCCATCAATTGGATGTGGCTATGGATAGATGGGTTCGATCGATTGAACTTACTGCTGAAGCTTTGCGATGTCGATTTGATGACTCCCAAACACTCACAGTGGGTCACAACAGCAATATTTCTCTGGTATTGAGCCATGAGTTGCATCAGGGTGTGAGCGACATGCAAGTTCTTTTTGTACAATGGTCAAACTCAGTGATTCGCATGGGAAGACACCTGTCCATTGACGAAAATGATGGTGTTGTTTGTCCTGTGTACTTCATGCAACAAGCAGTGTCATATCGAAACAGTGAAATCATACATCCAGCAGTTGGTGTGTGTGTTCGTCGTGCCAAGAAGGGTCATCGGCCAGTGCTTCCACCTCATATCCGTCGCCTGTATGATATTTATTCTACATCAATTAAGTCTGGTACATCAAAGGAGGACCAATCATTGGTGTTTGAATCCATACAGGATGATTGCTTAGCATGTGGTACACCATGTATGTTTCAGTGTGGATGTTGCCAAAAGTTTTGGCACAGTCATTGTGCGGATGCAATACGTGATCACATTCAACACGCAGTTGGGTCAGTCGATCTGGATATGCGCAATTTGAACACGAAGTGTTTACCATTGTGTTGGCTTGATGATTCCGAACACAGTTTGCATCTGAAATCCAGCTCAAGTTCAAGCAATGCTGCTGGCAACAGAAGGACTCTTAGCGAACATGGTTTTGCATGAAGTCCATTGGTATGATATGACAAATGAATGTTGTTAGTGGATTCAATAAAACTATAGTTCTTGGTGACCTCAGGTGAAGCTTACAAACCTTCCAGTGAATGAACCCATGAAGACAGTATATGTTTATGTTTGCTAACGAAAATGATATTGTATATAATCACGATCACTGTATTTGTTAATGTTGAGTTCCTGATGTTGTATGCATATGTTGTATGTATCCTATACTTAAACAAATGCTTGGTACCTCCACTATTCAATCAACACACCAAGGACCATTGGGTTTATGCAAGACGACGATGATGATCTGGTCGGACGACTAACTGCATCATCAATCATTTGCACTGTGTGCAAATCGTGGTTGACGGAGACACTTGGAAATAGTGGCGATTGAATTCTATCGCTGGTCCTGTGGCAACCTATAAGTGTTATTCAGACAGTTGAAGAACCTTTCATATATGTGTGATTCTTCATCAATCCAAAAGATATCTTCAATCTTTTGTGTATGGACATCTTCTGTTGAGACTAATGTTGAACCAGCGTCGGTTTGTGACCCAAGGATTGTCAAGAAATGCCAGAAATGATGACACATCGGGTTTGGTATCTTGAATGCATTTGGCATAAGATGTGTAATCATTTGTACTTATCACAAAACATCTTTAATTTGATTGCTTAATCAATGCATGCAATACAATATGTTTGTTTGCTGAGCTGTGGCTACCTGAAGTGGATGCATCATTGGAACAACACATATAACATGTTGATTGTCTTGAAGAAGATCAACAAGCTATTTCTCTTGTAGCAAATGGTTGGCTGTGAGCTGAGGTACATATCATCAACCATTTGCACGAGCAACGACAAGATCAACAAGATCTATGTGTGAAGGAGTAAGGTACCTGCGCCTGCCACCCTGCTGCTGCTTGTTGGGGTGGTGTGTGATGTAGGTTAGTATATATTGTACTGAACTGATCGTGTAAGGTTTTGTGTATATGAACAATTCTGAGTTTAAGGACAAATGTATTTGTTTCTTCAGGTTTATGTTGACCTTTTGCAAACACAACGGTCTCTGCTTATTGTTGATATAGATCAGCCCGATTCCGTCAGGCTCAATGGGTCAAATGGATCAAAGGTATGACAGTCAAGGATCACTGATGGTAACACGGATCATATATCTATTTGAATATACGCACTCCAATAGATGTTCGGCTGTTATCATATGTGTGTTTGTGTTATGTTTGCTTAAAGTATTGTTATAAATAATACGAACTAATTTGAACCAATGAATGAACCAGTGTTTGAATTTAAAAATGATCTAGATGTATGATTGATTGGCTTGACCCACAAGGTAGTTATGTAACAACTATGACAACAGGTTTCACAAATATTTAGATCATTATATGTTTCTGGCACCTTATATGCAAGCTTCCTGCATCGTTTGCCAAATCAATGGCGACACCCGGTGCTGATCATGATGATGACGATACTGCTATCGCTGATGAAGAAGAACGTGATTTGGACCGTGATCAAGAAGATATAAGGTTCATGAACAGAATGGAACGGTTTTGGGTCAACCTTGGTGCACCTGACATTCCATTTCCATATGTTCACTACATGCCTGGCTGTCCAAACGGGAGTGACTCAAGCAATGAAAATCAAGAAGCAGTGCCATCGACACCATCTGAAGCTGCGTCTGATGCCAGCAGTTATGTGAATGTTCACATCATGGGCCTTGATGGAGTGATTCGAGGTGAGTTTGCCCAACGAAACCCTTTGCAGCGGGATGACGATGGAAGTGATCATGGAGACGACGATTACCTAGAACCATACAACATGGACGACGATGACGACGCTAATGGTGATTTAGCTGAGCAATGGGACTATCGATCAGATCTAGCAACTTCCGTACCTTCCCAGTCTATTTCTGACTTTGAGGATTTCAGTGGTGACGAGTTCAATCAAGAGCATCCGGAGCCCACTAACCTGAACCTTTCTGGTTGTGACACTATGACTATGATGGGTGAAGGTGAAGAGGTGACATCTGCAACAGAGTCTTCTTCAACCTCTTCGGCTTCGACACCTACATCAGCCACACCGGCCAGGGATACTGAGTGTAAGATGTCAGTATGTTGGTGTGCAAAGCGGAGAAAGGTTTCATGAACGGCAAAGCCGTTCTTGGTCCAAATCAGCATTGTGGGACTAGTGTGATTTGGCTTTTTGTGGGATGTCAAGAAATCATGTGTATTTGCAGTTCCGAGCGCGTTGCGATGTTCAATTGCATGATGTCGGTGCAGTGCAAACATGTACAATAACAATAACCATTATAATGATCGAATACACAATACACAATACACAATACACAATACACAATACAATAATATAATATAATATAATATAATATTTGATAAAAAAAATAATATAATATAATATAATATAATATAATATTTGATAAAAGAATATAATATAATAATATAATATAATAATATAATATTTGATATAATATAATATAATATAATATAAAAGAATATAATATAATATTTGATATAGGCCTAGGGCGGGCTGCTGGAGGCCTAGGGCAGGCTGCTGGAGGCCTAGGGCGGGCTGCTGGAGGCCTGGGGCAGGGTGCTGGAGGCCTAGGGCAGGCTGCTGGAGGCCTAGGGCAGGGTGCTGGAGGCCTAGGGCGGGCTGCTGGAGGCCTAGGGCGGGCTGCTGGAGGCCTAGGGCAGGCTGCTGGAGGCCTAGGGCGGGGTGCTGGAGGCCTAGGGCGGGCTGCTGGAGGCCTGGGGCAGGCTGCTGGAGGCCTAGGGCAGTGTGCTGGAGGCCTGGGGCGGGCTGCTGGAGGCCTGGGGCAGGGCGCTGGAGGCCTAGGGCGGGGTGCTGGAGGCCTAGGGCGGGCTGCTGGAGGCCTGGGCTGGAGGCCTAGGGGCTGGAGGCCTGAGGGTGCTGGGGCAGGGTGCTGGAGGCCTGGGGCAGGGTGCTGGAGGCCTAGGGCGGGGTGCTGGAGGCCTGGGGCGGGGTGCTGGAGGCCTGGGGCAGGGTGCTGGAGGCCTGGGGCAGGGTGCTGGAGGCCTAGGGCAGGCTGCTGGAGGCCTAGGGCAGGCTGCTGGAGGCCTGGGGCGGGCTGCTGGAGGCTTAGGGCGGGCTGCTGGAGGATTAGTAATATTGAAAGCCTGGTGAGGGCTGCTGGTGGATCTGCTCAGTATGTTGAAAGCATACGGCAAAAAATCTAGAATATTTGACTTGATTATCTGCTGGACAGCAAAATAAGATCAAAAACAAAAACATATAATATTTACATATAATATATTTTATATATTATATAGTATGTGGTATGTGTTACATAATGTATAATATATAATATCTATTATTATAGATATTATATTTCATATATGTCATATATGTCATATTTATGTATTATAATAAATACCATGTGTTATAATTCCAATAATTTATTATATTAATTGTACATTACATATTATATGTATAAATAAAAGAATAAATGCTATATATTAATAAGTATACAACAATGTACGATGCACTCACACAACTTGTACAGTGCAACTCGTGTTCTTGATCGTTCGTTTCGCAATGCAGTGTCTTGGCGAGTTCAAGCTTTGCTCGCAACACGATGTGCAACAGCTTCTTAAAGCAAATATAACACATGTGTACGTGGAAGGACATATGTGTAGTTGTGTAATTGTTATTGTTTGGTATAGATTCAATTCAAGTGCAAACATACTCACTGTGGAACACAATGGCTCTCCATCAACCAGCGCAAACGGTACATGTCATACAGCTGAAGAAGACCGACGCTTCTGAGTTTGTGGAGCCCAGCGGAGATCGCAAAAGCACGGATCATTTTGTGCTTTTCAGGATAGATATGGTTTATTTTATATGTTTGGCTTTGTCAAACACAAAAAGAACACAACATTGTTCAACATATGCTATCCATACTTTCATTTATCGAAGACCCTGAAGACCCTGAGGACTACTGCATATCCAAGGAAGATACAATTGTCGGAATGCCCAACAATTGGATTTATTCAATCGATCCCTTTTGGATCCAAGAGGAGCAACATGACCCATCATTTCGTTTCTAGTGGACTGTTTCAGCAATCGATTGATGTGCACGATGGCAAGAACATTTGTCCAGGTGCACACGCGTCTCTGAATCATGTTGGTGTGAAGCAATCAATCAAAGAACTTAGAGACCTTCACGAACTTCCTGATGGTTCACCTATCTATTGCTTTGTCTTCAACAATATTCAAGTGTTGACAAAATCAACAAGCGTGAAATGTCAGTTTCGATTGGGGTGGTCTACATGCGAGAGACCCTTAGAGAAGATCAAGACAGCTGATATATCACTATGGGTTCGGAAGGTTCCTTTTCAAAACCCGTCAGAAGTTTCTGCGTCATCTTCTACTGAACCAGTTCCAGCTGATCAATCCACATCCATTGGTCAGAAACCTTCCCATCAAGATGATGATGGTGAAGACAAACCAACCAAACATTCAGAAGATCGTCCTAGTGAATCAGTTTCTGGATTGAATGACCAAGACCAAGCCATACCATCTTTGGTCACAGAGAAGGTAGACAATGATCAGTGTGCAACACAGCATGTCAATGATTGTCAACAAGCTCATGATCCTGTGGATGATAAACTGGGTTATGCAGAACAAGAACATTCACAATTGACAACTGTCAGCACATGGCAAGGTTTTTATTATAGATTTTTCAAATACGATTACATGTATGTCTATGTGCTGTATGTGCTTTGTGCAACACGTACATAGAAATAATATATTTCAACCATAACCAACTCAATGTGCTATGTCTTTTACACAACAATGATATGCCGATATTTCAGCCCAGGATGGTCAATGATCGTGCAGTCAAACGTGAAGATCCTACGTGCATCGGAGATCAGCAAGACATCAACCAGATGATGTCTTACTGAAAACTTGCACCATCACACCATTGGAGCATGCAGGTTATTCGAATGATAATTATTCGCTATATTTTCTAGTTAGTTGGACCACATGATGATCCCAACAAACTAATCATGTTGAACAATTTGTTAGAACATTGAGTTCAAACAAACATTATTGGCAGTCATCTATTTCTAAGTACACATGATATCACACAATCCAGTGACAATCCAGCCTTTATCTAAGGATCATCTCTTCCACCTCCTCAACCTGAGCCTCAACCTCAAGACCATGATTTACTAGCTAATGTGACGGCTGCATCAGCAGTGAATCAACCGGTTGAAAGTGCCAACGTACCTGATGCTAGTGGGAATGTGCCAGCAGCATCTCGCTTAAACATCATGCTGAAATCTATGGTGGTGCTGGTTGGTCCCTGACCCTCAACAAAAACGTAATTCAACATGTAAGTACAATATTAGTTTCAATTTAGTTTTGTTCTTATCTTCTTTATATAAGCTATTTAGTAATCAAACATACACAAACTATTGGTCTGTAAGTTTTTGTTGTAAACTGCTCATTCAATTCGCATAGATTCATATCAAACAAAAAGAGATACATCAACATTCTTTTAGTCCGGGCCGCATGAATCATGAGTCCTGAGTACTGGGTATATCGGTATATATATATATATTAATCAAACTCCTTTGCATACATGTCAAATGATGATCGTGCAAAAAATGATAATGATTAATCATAAAGCATTATCAACATAAAAAATCAACTATGCTTTAAGGAATAATATTCTATTTGTTTTGTAGTAAGTTAGGAACTAGTAGGTAACTATTGCTGCACTCTGCAGTTTGCGCATGCGCAAGGCAACCGAGACATGCTTGGGCTCATGTGCTTCAAGTACATCTCCAGTTGATGCTCCGGATGCAACCACACATGATGGATATGATGAGAAACATGAGAATAAGAATGTATCCAACGATCAGCAATCGGGTTCTATCGGTTCTACCAGTTCGGAGTTGAAAACTAGATCCGCACAGATCACAAAGGACACAAAGACTGACATTGAGATTTCAAACACAACAACTCCGTGTACAATCCTCACTCCACCAGATACATCATTACCAGCGGCATCAACATCATCAACCATTGATACTACCCTACCACCTGCACCAGTCACAAAGACTTGTTCTTTGTCATCGCCAGTTGCATCATTGGACGATGCACACAGTTGATTGGCAGCCAAATGAACAATGTATGTTTTATTTTTCATGTCAAAATTTTACTGTTAGTCAATGAGTCAACGAGTCAACCATATGATTTTACTATGATTGTGTTGACTACTGCGTCACTGACTGACAGACTGACTAAGGTTGGCCTGAGCAATTCCTCACAGCCTATGCTTCTCTTGGGACTGACTTCATCGATCCTTCCATGAGTTGTTGTTCCGACAGTGATGATGAGACCGACATTGACGACTTTGGGACAGATCATCGAGATGATGGCACGACTAAGGGGATTCTATCTGACCTATGGAAGCGTATGTCTTGTACAACCATGTCAACAGCATTCTCAGGGATCGATACACCAGGTACATCATTTCAGCAGCTTTATGTTAGCTTAGAGATGATGCTCTTTGGGAAGGTGAGCAATCATGGTTTTCAGCATCACTTGCATGCGACTGAGTGGTATGGTCCATCACAACAGGAACTCTTGAATCACCCACAACAACCAAAATGTTTGTTTGGCAACATAGAAGATTTTCTGTCACCGATTTTGCGAAACCAATTGCTGGACTTTGTGGCATCTGATCGACTGGACATGTTCACTCAAGTCCTGCTTGAGAATCCCAATGCAATTCAAACGTGACTCGACTACTCAATTCAACATGGTTTGGTTGTAAGTCTTGTAAGTTGTAAGTCATATGTATATTTTATGTGATCAAGTTTCTATATATAATGATGTGTTGTGCTTGATAACAAAACAGACGTGATATGTCAACAAACTGTGGGAACAATAACAATCGATCAATCGACTAATCGACAGTGCGACAGTTTCCTTCCAATAGACTTAGGTCAGCGTATTGCCTGGTCCATCAGAAAATGTGTTCCATCGACGACGAGCTGGCACATGTCCACAAAGCAGGCACAAGTTGTCAAGCACATTCTTCCATGGGCAACTTAGATCGGGAGCAAGCTATTCAATTTGCTCATTTCCTGATTTGGCTTGCAATCCGCAAGCGGCTTCAGGAGATGATTTTGGTTCAAGAAAATGTTGTTGGCTTTCCCAGGGACACTTTCATTCGATTCCTACCTGAGTACGAGTTTGAAGCTGCAATAGTCGCTCCAGATTCATACGGATGGCCCATTGCTCGTGAGAGACAATGGATAGTGTTTCTTGAAATCACTTTTTGATGATGTTTTTGATTTTTATGGTGGTTCCAAAGTTCTGAGTTCATTTTGGTTTGAAATTATATGTTTTGTCAGTTGGTTGTATCCAATGCAATGTAGCAACATATAGTAACATATAGTAGTTTCTATTGGTATCAACCCCAAAAAGAATCGAATAGATCCCCCAGACTCCCCAGACCCCATACTCTATGTTTGTATGAATCTATGTTACATAACTCAGTAGTTAGAATAGATATGATATAACATGGTATAAGTGATATTAACATTATAAACTCTTTACCACAATAACATTAGCCAACCTCAGCCAGCCAATACTATACCCATAATCATACTTGTTTTTGATGCCAACATCCTGCTTATCTAAGGGGCCGCCATCGTGTGAAGACCTTGCCCTTCAGAAGCCTCTTGAACATATTCACGAAGATGTTCCAGAGAGATCTAGCTGATGACGGAGACTGGAAGATGTTTTTTTGGGAGTGTCTTGTCGCTACAGCACGGGTGATATCCTGAAGGCAACATGACAATATGATACTGTGATACTGTGAAATGTGAGAAATATTTTTTTTTACATGTATGATAAGTATGTTGATTGTTGTGTTTATGGTTCATTGTACTTTTTAATCAGAAGCCACACTAGTTTGTTGTTTTGGTTGTAGTTGCCGTGATTGCTGTTGATAAATTCCAAGAGGTTGGACAGAAACCGACACATTTGTTTGAGTTGACAGTTGACAGTCGACAGTTGACATCCTGACATCATTAAGTTCAAGTTCTATGTTTGCTGAACACTGTGATGAGGACAGACACCGACGTTCTCGATGAGCAATTGCGTTGGGCAGCATCACGGCCATCCTCCTTGTGGGATAAGAATACTCCACCACCCACATCGCAGGATAGCAATGCGTTTCTTCGTGTGCTTTCAAGAAATGAGTCATCATTTTTGGAGAAGTACGAACAGCTCCTTCCCAATAGCATGTATTCCCTGAATCAAGACCCTGCTCACAAACCCATGATGGTTCACGGGAAGGTTACTAGGATTGCAAACAAAGTATATTGTTATTTTTGTTGCTTCAAGTTTCAAGTTATCAATTTACAAAATCATTATACTAATGTATTAATGACTACTTTTTACGACTGTAGGTATTGGTCTTCTCAGGTCTGCAGGTTTTGATGTACACTACTATCAGGCATCATAGTTTCCAAACACACACACACATACCATCAGCTTACCTCGCCTCACTACTTGATGACTGAGGCGTTTGCGACATTGATTGCCAGTGTCAACATCCTATACAGCTCCTACCATCGACGTTGGCTGTCCTCACGTGAGATCCTGGGTCTACAGGGTTTTCCTGTTCTGACAAAATGGAGTCACAACACACCATGCTGTTCGTTTGCAGTTGCCATGCAAGCTTCGAGAGCATCAGTCAACCGAATGGCTGGCAATGCTATGCATGTGACAGTGTGTGGTGTTTTATGGATGTATGTACTCACGCAAGTGCCGATGGATTCACATCTGGCAAAGATTTTATGGCAACGTTTCAAACGCATGGCCAACAAGAACAAACGCGATGCGAAGCGTCGACGAATCACATAGATTCATTTTGTGTCAGATTGTGATATCGATAATTTCACAATTGTTCAGACAACTCAGATAATTCAATCCTGATGAACATGTCAAAACTACCAGCACGCTAAGAGCACACTTGGTCCTACCAAAGAATTGTTATGATTATGATCAATATGATGTTATGTTCATTGGACTCATTGGTTTAAACTCTGTTGTTGGGAATTGTTTTACCAAGAAAAAACCATACTTTAGCAGAACCATATCATTAGCTATTAGCCATCATCATCATCATCATCATCATCATCAGTCTAGAAGTTCACCTTGTATGATTCCATCAACGTCTTGTTGTTTGGTACTGGTTCATACACCCAAATGTACTAAATGTATGATATGGACCAAGTTCAAAGATATTTGGTTACTCGAAAACCATCAGTGTATTTGGTGGCCGCTACCAATGCATGCTACCAGAGATCACTGTGCGTATGTCCTTTTGCTGGTTGTAATTCGTGCTTTCACTTCCCACTCACCAACGTGCAATATGTTGTGATATGAGTGAGAAGACTATGAGAAGAATGCATCATTTTGCATGGTCGTAGCTGTGGCTTTGTTTGGCCACCAATCCAACAAACCAGATGGGAATCCGACTCACTGAAAACTGTGGCTTGGTTACCGGTCACATTGTGTTTTGGACTATATAGAATTGAATTGATTACTATCATCATCACCATGAACTCAACCATGAAGTCAAAAATATTTTCTAATTTGTTTCTGACTGGACTGACTGGCTATGCGGCTTTCTGATTTGCTGATGAGGACGAACCATTTTATGAATTGTACATTCATTTCCTTGATTGATGATCTGATGATCACTGATACAGAACGATTCCATGCATTGAATTCGCAACTGCCGCAACTGCGATCAAGCCATCTCACGTGGTGATGTGTGGCGCACTAGCGCTGCATGTTACCCAACTTCGACTATCTATAAATCTTTCAATCAATTAATTATGTATGGTGTGGCACTGAAACTGAAACAAGTCAACATTGATTTGAAATGTCACACTGAGATTTCAACAACTTGATATCGTTGTGCATATGTTGGCTGGTGTGGGCTGTTGGAACACAACTTATACTTGAATCGGGGGTGAACTTGTAGTAGCCATGGATGTTCCGAATGCAAGTGCTGCTCAACAAGTAGCATCATCTGTGACAGCAACAGGACCCCCTGCTCAGATTCAATCAAAGATCAATTTGAACCACAGCAAGATGTATGTCAAAGACGCCACTATCTCTGAGATCTTTGGGAATGCAGTGAAGCCTGGTCGTGAGTTACTTGAACAGATCATCAAGACGTACAAGGCATACATGACATATCCATTCAGTCATTTGTTCAAACCAACAAGTAAAGGAAAAATATTCATTATTCATTCAAGCGACTTCTAAACATACCTGCATTAAGTTTATCTTATTGTCCGTCTCTTACTGTTTCACTGTGTTGGGCTGTGTTCATATATGATTATGATTTGTATTATTTTCTGTTGTGGATTTATGATTGTTTTGGTATCTATGCCAACAACATCACCCTACATACTGACTCCAGCTCCTAATACAATCACAAATGAACGCTTTATCAGTTTGGTTGACAAGTTGAGTAGACTAACCACTAACCAAGGTTCATGGTCCATGGTTTCTGGATTTGATTTTGTGGACAATACTGACCATATCATATTTGCCAAAAGCCATATGACCATGGATAGTTATCTCCCTGTAGGTGCCTGGTTCGGGGATGGTTCCATTCTTCCACAGCAGTGGTCGTCGATCCATCACACGCCACAAGCTGAACAACCGCAAGCAAGACACAGTGCTCACAAATTACGTGGCCAGCGTCAAGCAACGTGGAATAGTGCGAGGGGTTCGTGGGGATTGTTGGCTGATGCAAGATCCCGAAAGTCAAGGAGATCAGTTCTACAGTTTGACATGGGGGACTTTGAATCATGGCAGCATCGGGCCACTGAGTTCTGAATAATATATTAATATGTACCAGCTATGTGCCATAGGCCCATAGGCTTCATACGGATACAAATACAACATCAACAACCGATTATATATATATATCAGATATGTATATCCAGGCTCATATTGTAGCTGTAGCCGCAACTATACAAGGATAATCATTATCATAGTATAATACAGTACAACAATACAGTCAATGATGTCGAAACAAACCGATATTGTGATCGCAAACTAGGATACCACCTAGTGGTCAGTGGTCAGCACATGGCACATGTCCCATTCCCAAATAAACATTCAGTTCAGCTAAATGATATTCAAGAGAAGTTTAGCTTTGGGAACTTTTGGACTTTGGGGTAGCTTCGATGTGTGTTGTAGGTGTAGCTGTGGCTGTAGCTGTATATCTATATAACTGAGGATCGACGCGTTTTACATTGCGTGGTCTGAACCGGGTGCGCAAGAGAATGCCAACTTGCTTGCAACGGAGAAGGAAGGGCTGGAGGCGACACTGTTTGACCACAGATGTCCAGACTCTGTGCTTCTCTTCTTGTTTCTTGGAAGCATATTTGAAATCAAAAACAACAAATCTTTCAGTCCAGTGCCAGCACCAGTACTTTCAGATTTGTTATCATGTTGTAGAGGCAATAGGAACTGAAAATTTAAGCAAATTTAGCTCACTGTCCACTGTCACCGTTTCAAACAACACTGTATGACTGTATGACTGCATGTTGTTAGTTGCAATATTATTATATTTAGTCATAGTCATATATAGCTTTGATCAGCTTTGGCTTAATGACCCAAGGATATCCTACCACAATTCGTTCCACGTGGGCAGCAAGACATCATTCTTGGAGCTTATCGCCAAGGTGCCAATGGTATCTGGGACAACAACACATTAGATTCAGATCAGATATGATCCACTCAGTTTGATGGGCCAGGTTGATTTCTTAGTGGAGAAGAAGCATCACCAATCACCAATTGTTGAGATGTAGTTATTATGTTGAAATGTTATGTGTTTGTCTTTGTCTTTTCCTGTCACAAATCACAACAAGACAACAAGAACATATCAATCATCTCAGTCTAACAGTTCAGTACATCATTGTCACACGATTGAGAATATAAGAAAACAATGACTGGATGATTTCATCATTGTGATCAATGCGTCAATGAGTCAATGACTAGTCAAGGACTAATCGCAATGCAAATTGTATTTTGGATCTTACATTTTACATCAACAAACACAAAGTAACCATTATTTATTTACAATTGCCTATCATCATCATGAATCATCATGAGATACCGAACATGATGTATGCTTGCCTTATGTGTGATTGTTCGTTTGCCTGAACATCAACTTCATTAAGTCCAACTTAGGTCGAGAAGGAATGGGCTCAGTACAAGTTCCAGAACGGGATTACGTCCAGGTTGTCGGACTACGAGGCAAAGTACCACCAAATGATTCAGAAGAACTTCCCGGAGACATGGAGCTCTATGAGATCTTTTGAGGCAACTCGATTTGTCTACAATTCCACCTGCAAGTTCCATGCGTTTGAAGATCTACGTGCGGAGATTGGGAAGAGTTGCGATTTCTTGTGTGCTGAGCTGAACACTGACGCGACGATCAATGTGATGAAGGAATTGATCAACTTCGTGATCACCAACTTCAGCAATAGTTTGGCGTGGGTTGAGATGAAGGTCCTGATTCTGGAGTTGGCTGCACGGAGTGTAGCTTGATATGTCAACAACACACAAACATACTGACATAGAGCATATATAATACATACATACATATCATGCATATGGTCTATGCACAGAATATACACATACATAATATACATATGCATATATATATATACATCTACACATACACTCACATACACTCACATACACACATACACACATACACACACATACATACATACATACATACATACACACATACATACATACCTACCTACCTACATACATACATACATACAGACAGACATACATACATACATACATGCATTCACGCATACATGCATACATACATACACATACATACTACCTACCTACATACATACATACATACAGACAGACATACATACATACATACATGCATTCACGCATACATGCATACATACATACACAGGTACATGAATACAACGCAAACAACAGTTCATCAACACATGACGGCATACTGACATACTGATATACTTACACAAACTACTTATTGATTCATTGATTCTTTGACTCATTACATAACATAACATGTCTATTATACAATTGAACATTATGTCACTAATCAAAACAATATCACACCAACTACACATATATAAATATTTCAATATATATATATACATTATTATTATCATTACATATTACATGTGCACATGTATGGTGTATCACTGCAACACAAGACTTTGTGTGCAAGGTACCTATGATCAGCAGTGGTGATAGCAATGGTGATGGTGCAGATGCTGCAGGTCTATGGCTCTTTCGCAAGCAGAACAACATCCAGGATGCAATGGTCTTGATGCAGCAGATGGATGGCAAGATTCTTGCACCCAAACCCAAGGCGAAGGCGAAGGCGAAGGTGAAAGCAAAGGCAAAACAAGAGAGCAAGGGAAAGGGTCGTGGTGGTGGACGTGGAAAAGCAAAAGCTGCACCCAAAGAGAAAGCCCGTGGCAAAGATGGTGAAGATATCATGGATGAACCTGAGAAGACTGCGGACTATGTTTCCTGTCAAGTTGACGGTGTAGCAGTCCTACGAACCAAGTACTTTCTGGATTGCCTGGTGAGTGCTATCCGTAGTGCGCTGATCAATGCTCGCAAGCAGTTTGGAGTTCCTCTCGGAAGTCAGCCTGTTGAACCTGAAGCATTACTTGGCCCACCGTCGGCGCATGGTGAAACACTTGTTTATCATGATCATGAAGTCTTGGTCTTTCGCAAATGCTTGCGGTTGGGACTTCTGTTTGCTCTCAAGGGACAACTCACCATCGACAAGAAGATCCACAGACGCTGGTCTACTTGCAGACCACACATTCAGGTTTACGCCAAACAGTTGATCAAACGGGATTCTTGGGCTTATATATTATGTATCATTCTCATGATCATGACACATGATATATGATATATGACATACGGACTCCAAACAAGATAATCATGTATTGTATAGGGTCATTGTCATTGCCCACAAGCCCACACAAATTCACAATGGTTTATGTAAAGAACCACTTTGATTATGACATCAAGTAATATGTAATACAATCTATAGTTATAACCACATAATACAGCACACCCAGTGCAACAGCTCAGCTTCATCATCAGGCAACCAGATAGTTCAGCAATATAGTCAATAGTCAAAGTCAATAGTCAGTAAAGCACAACACCAGACCAACACTACTACACAGTCTCGCGAATATGTTTGTTTAATTTGTCATTCGATTGTGCAAATGATAACATTGACTATTTGACTATCTACTGTATTATATATAGCAATAGGGGGATAGCCGGGGATAGCGACAGTGTATGCTTATTTATTTCCACATGTGCTCACATCACTTTGTTCACCTACACTTGCACCCTCTCGCCAGTCAAACTCAGGTGACTGCATCCATACCAGCCGAAGTTGGTGGAGATGATGATCGCATGGTACAAGTTCTACACGACAGATTGGATGCTCAGGAACACCAACTCACACATGATTCAGCACTGGATGAACTTGCTGCAGCATTTTCAAGGTGGTATGATGATGAGAAGAAGAACATGAATGCGGGGACCAATCCACTTGGAGAATCGTTGATGGATGATACGGTCACCAAACATTGCTGCTATGGACGCATGTGTGCAGTCTGGGATTCCAAATGCAGTTGTGGAGAGGGAAGGACATGGGTTCAAAAAACACAAACCTAATTTACCAGAACCAATCGATAGTGATCATATGTCAGCAAATATCATAGTGTAAACATGTTATATCTGTCATATGTTTTCTTTTCACATACATTACATACATTAATATCAAAGTGACAAATGTGCAACACAAGTCAACATAAATACTGTGTGGGTTTTGCTACTAGTTATTATGTTTCCGTTGCAAGTTGCAACTACTCTGAGTTGACAGTAGTGACAATGGTGTATGCTTTCAGTAAATGACATTTGACACAAGCCTAATAATGATTACACTGTATTTATCATCTGATGTCGTTTGATATCTTGGGACCTTGGGAGGACCAACATTGCGACTTGCATTGTCCACAGTTCCTACATTGACATCTTGGATCTTGTGTACGAAGTTGCCACGCTCGTGACAAATGACCTACCCCATGGTGTGATGCAGTTTGGATTACACTTGGGCAAATACATGGAGAAGAAGGCTGCTTTGCCTGAGCTTCCTGAGAACTTGGCCAGTGAGATTTCGGTCAAACATATTGAACTGATCAAGTCCATGCGCAGCAACTACTTGTCGAGAGTTCTTGTTCGTGCGATTGGTGACCGAAAGCTGTCTCAGGGTCTATGTGAAGGAAAAGACAAAGACGAATTCACTGCGACTCGAGTCAAGTCATTGATTGCAAAGAACTGCAAGAAGATACTTGAGGTTGATACAATGCTGGGTACTCCCGATCAGCACATCGTGATTTCAACATGGAATGCTATCATGAGTGACATTCTGAAGACAGGCACTTTTCATCCAGGTGATGTGGTTGTGAGTTCTGAATCAACATCGGCCACTCAACAACGCCACGCAAAAGATGAGGGAGGTGATTCTGCTTTCACTTCATCATCCCGTACAGTATCATTGTGTGAGATCTTCATGTTCGGTCACATCAATCAACCCAACAATGATGAGAAAGATTCTGATGAGAACCAGATGATTGACAACACGGCTGATCCATCACAAAAGCCTGACAACCCAGACAAGCACGATGACGAGAACAAATCTGACAAGGACAAAGAGAAGGAGAAGGAGGAAGGCAAGGACATTGAGAAGAATGCTTGTGAACTCACGAAGGAGTTAGAGAAGCTTCACAAGACTCATCAACCTGCTCTTCACTTTGATAGCATTGACAAGCTCTTTCTGATTCGACTGGCGATCCAAACCGATTTGGTCAAACATTTCAGGAGTGAAAAAAACACAAAATCAATTGTTTCAATTAAACCACACTATATTTACATTAGCTGTGTGAAAAAAACAAAACAACAAAAACACACATATATATATACAAACAAAGATATGATTATTATTATGGTTATGGTTCGGATAGGTCTCCAGCACAGTGCCCTAGCACCAATCATGGCTCCAGCGACATCCCCTTTAAGGAGGTCTCCAGCACAGCGCCCTAGGTTCAGCCGTTCAACTGAATCTCCATTACCTTTCCCTAGGCATGAACAGGTCTCCAGCACAGTGCCCTAGGGCCAACTAGGTCTCCAGCGACATACCTTACGAGGTAGTCTCCAGCACAGTGCCCTAGGTTCAACCGACTAACTATTACCGATTACCTTTCCCTAGGCATGAACAGGTCTCCAGCACAGTGCCCTAGGGCCAACTAGGTCTCCAGCGACATACCCTACGAGGCACAGTGCCCTAGGTTCAACCGACTAACTATTACCGATTACCTTTCCCTAGGCATGAACAGGTCTCCAGCACAGTGCCCTAGGGTCGACCAGGTCTCCAACATAATCTATATGATTATATTTGCAAACAAATTTCACAACTAGACAACTTTCTAAGAGAAAGTCAAACAAAGAATAACAAAAATCAACTATCACATATTTTGTTTTGATCATATGTGTCAAGTTGAACATCGACAACATTTTCAATATATCAACTATTACTAACTATGACAGATATATCGTTGTCAGGAGAGCTTTGGACGGTGACATGCCCAACATTGTCTTCAACATCTCTTCGGCTCAGAAATCGAACAAGCTGATCGTGATTTCAGAAACACTTCTTGAAATTCCCGAAGTCTTTGCACGCAATGCGTTGGTGGAACTTGGCGATGCCCGCGGAACGACGGCAGAGATGAAGTTATCCCAGATCTTCACTTCGAAAGATGATTGTGAACCGACAAAAGACCTAGCAAAGAAGATTCTGGAGAAGTTTGCGATGCCCTATTGGGGGGATGTATGTATCATAGCTGTGCTTATGAAAATATATGGCTGTTGTTTGATGAAGATGGTTTATGTTTTGTAATTTTATTTTGTTACCATGGGAAATGTTTGATGGAAACTAGTTTATTTTGTATCAAATCGTCACTAAGGCAATGTTGTAACTTACAACCATATGTTTATGTATGTGTGTATTGGTGAGTGATCAATACCAAGGTACCACGACACCAATCTTCAGCAGGCCGCCGAAGACTATGACACACATTGCATTTGATGTCATCGATGGCGAGACAAGTGAATCCATATGTACCCAAACAGCAATTATGGTTTTGTAACAGTATAGCTAAGATTCCAAACACATGATTTAACACCAATTCAACTCAATCATTTATAACAAGTTAACAAGTCTTTGAACACAGAAACAATGTTGCATCACCAGCTCCATAATTCATCGTTTCAAGTAATTGTGATGCTGGGACGGGGCGATGAGATGTTTATCTTTTCTTATTTGTTGGAAGTTGCAACATCGCTCAACCTGAGGCTGTATTCATCAGGATGAACCAATTCCATTCTACATCTCGGGCAATGGATACAACAATGTTGAAAATGATTTGGTGTGTCCTGCATGGACAGTGCCGCCATGCTCAACATGCGATGCTTCCAGGCCACCCTTGATGGTTATCAAACGTTCTGAGATTCGCAAGATCAGTGTGACCATTCCATGTGGCACCTATTGTGAAACAGGTGCTGAACAAAGTTTGCCCTTGAAGTATGAGGTCGCATCATTGGTCTTCAACACTGAAGCTGATCCAGTGGCTACAATCAGGGGCATCAATGGTCAGGCATACATTCAGTTGGAACGTCAGAACATGTACCTTTGGTATTGGTTTACAGTTTTTGTTTTAAGGGTTATGCTCAGTCAAGTTTCATTCAATGGTTCAATGTGTTCAATACATAATCTACTGGGTATAGCTGCACTGAAATTTACATCATTACCTGCCCATTAATTTATCTATTCTTATCCGAAACCCATCCCGACAACTGCAACATAATTATATATCCCATTGACTCATTGTAAGTTTATGTTTTTTTTGGGTATATATATTTACATTAGCCATACTCATAGTCACCACACAGTAGTGTTTCTGTTTCACCAAACAATTCTTTAGATATAATTAATACATACATACTGTAAACAAATCACATGGAATCACAAAATCACAATACCACACACAACTCACAATGTAACAAAAGATACATAATCATATGTATATATATATGTATTTAAACGATATGATCTTGACCAGTTTTACTTCCATTATCATCAGCCATTTGCAGTTACATTTGTTGCATAAAAGTAATAAAGGGCCACAAAGGGTTTCACAAGGACATTATAAATAATACCTAAAAGACTTCCATAAACACACCGATGTCATGTGTGCTCAGGCCGGGCGAAGAGGTCAAGAAGAAGCGTGGAATTACGAACGATCTCAAGATCGGAGATGTGGTGATTGGTGTTGAGTCGTCTGTGGCCGTGGAAGAGCCAACATCCAAACGTGCAAAGTTTAGTGACTCATCTTCTCCTTCGAGTGATCCACATTCATCGACTTGGGCATCAGCGACGATTCGAAACTTGAACATTTTCGATGATGATGATCTTGGGAAATCAGGAAATGGCACCAGGAAGGACAGTAAGCTGAAACCAAACAAAAATGCCAAACACTTGCTGAGGTAGAATGATGTAGAGTGTGCGACTGTGTGTCAATTCCATCCATACCAGCTGCGACTGCATAGTCACAAAGCGTTGTGCCACAACAACACTTGACCACATTGCATTGGTCCAGAAACGAATAGTCCTTTTATCATTTTATGAAATGATATCCAATGGTTCAATTGTCATTGTTGTTTTAAGATTGAAATGCCAAGGATGATAGTCATGATGTTCACGGAGTATTGTTACATTACATCATTACATCATGTCATGTTGTTTGTTTCGTAGCATACAATGGGCCAATGGGAAGCAATGTGCCTGGTGGGTCCTACTTTGGTGGCAATCGTGATTGGCAGACTGTCAGCTACGTTACGTAGGTACCTTAGGTACATCATACATAATGGAATTTGACACCAAACGGGAATCGGAATCGGTCGTTGACACAGCTCTTTGTGAAACAAATTCGACATTTTGTTTTCAAAGCTCATCACAACATTATTTCTGATCATATAGAATTATCATATTAGGCTTGGTTTGGTCATAATGTGTATGACTATGGCAGTGACTGAAGAAACATTGTTTTGTTTTATCGCTTTCTTTTGAAATGTGTAATGTGCAACGACTCTGCATGAAGGTCCAATAGGTTGGATAATAGACTCCACAGTGTCACAGTAGCTAGTCGCTAGCACTGTTGCGTGGGTGTGGACTAGGTGTGGACTCGTGGATTCAACCTCGACATACTCAACTAGCACTGGATCAACTAAGTTTTTGATTGTTGATTCGATGATCTTTTCCTAACAGTCTGTAAGGTGTGAAGTTGTGAGTCAATGATATGAGAACAAAACCAACCAAGTAAATTTTCATATCAAACAATTGACTATGGGCATGTTCTTCGAGTTCCACACTACACTCTGCAAAGTGATTTTTTTCTATGCTTTGCCTGACAACACCATTCACAGGTGTGCTGAGCTGTGAACGCAAATCACTTAATCCAGTTGTCAGTGGTAGATGCACTGCATCAGCACCGATTGGATCTTCTGGTAATCCCATATTTCAATTCATACTTACTTGATGTTCAAAGATGACATAGCCAGGCTTGTACTATTACTTTACTTGTATGTTGTACTATATGTGTATTTGTGTGAACCTAACTTGGAAAGTTCAACAATGATTATGGGAATACCAGATTTATACGATCCTACCCGATCCGGCTATGTATTTACCGCACCGCACCGTTGCCCTGCACGCGTGTGAACAAATTCAGATGATATCAGCGGCGCTTTGGTTTTGTACAACCACTGTGTGGTTTACCCAGGACCAGATCATGATCCACCATCACATACACTGGCTTGCAAATGTTATCATCATTATTTGATCATTTGGTCCAAAACATATCGGTTATGATTCTGTTGGGATTTATCTTTGTTCTCTTTGTCAATAGGACAATGCTTTCAAGATATATGAGTTCTTACTTTCACCCTTTCTTCTATTGTTCAATGTCATGATGTCATATAATTGTTTGGTTATAGTTTCTCAATATCACAACTGTCGAGACCCATGCACCCATGCGCAGGTGCTATGATGGTTGGCATCACGTTGCCGCCCATGGCTTTGTCGTGATGGAAATCTGCATGACTTTGCAGATTGCATGAATGCATGTTCACTCAATTATCTTTCGGTCAGCTGAAATCAATCTGACAATCAATTGTATATTACATCAATGACCTTCACCCATTGCAGCATTGCACTGCATGGGTTTGGTGATTTGTGAGTTTGTGAGAGGGAAAATATTACAATTTGCTGCACACTTGGCTGCAATGGCACTTGTTGGTACCCAAGCTGGGATTGTGTAGGATATATCAATATATAACTTGATTGGCTATGTGGGCCTTATGTAGCCTATGTAGTAAGCTACCTCAGGAGCGCCCAACCTAAAAGCGAGCTTGCTGTATTGAACCCTCAAGATAGAGAGATCAGCACACCCCTATTCGTGCCCATTCGGTTTGCGTAAGAATAATTGGCGGTTCGGTTCGTGCCGGTTCTTAGCCTGCCGGTTCCTGAACGGTTCGGTTCCCGGTTCACGGTTCGTTTCCTAAGCCATACTGTTAAAGTAGTATTGGCAAGTGCTTTGTGCAAGCTGTGTAGTACAAAGTAGTACAAAGTAGTACTGGGAACGACTTTGTGCAAGCTTTGTACTACAAAGTAGTACTGGAACGTGCTTTGTGCAAGCTTTGAAGTACAAAGTAGTACTGGGAACGACTTTGTGCAAGCTTTGTAGTACAAAGTAGTACTGTGAAGTGCTTTGTGCAAGCTTTGTAGTACAAAGTAGTACTGGGAACGACTTTGTGCAAGCATTGTAGTACAAAGTAGTACTGGAACGTGCTTTGTGCAAGCTTTGTAGTACAAAGTAGTACTGGGAACGACTTTGTGCAAGCTGTGTTGTACAAAGTAGTACTGGGAAGTGCTTTGTGCAAGCATTGTAGTACAAAGTAGTACTGGGAAGTACTTTGTGCAAGTTTTGTAGTGCAAAGTAGTACTGGGAAGTACTTTGTGCAAGCTTTGTAGTACAAAGTAGTACTGGGAAGTACTTTGTGCAAGCTTTGTAGTACAAAGTAGTACTGGGAACGACTTTGTGCAAGTTTTGTAGTACAAAGTAGTACTGGGAAGTAGTTTCTGCAAGCTTTGTAGTACACAGTAGTACTGGGAAGTGCTTTGTGCAAGCTTTGTAGTACAAAGTAGTACTGGGAACGACTTTCTGCAAGCTGTGTAGTGCAAAGTAGTACTGGGAACGACTTTGTGCAAGCTTTGTAGTACAAAGTAGTACTGGGAACGGCTTTGTGCAAGCTTTGTTAGTGCAGAGTAGTACTGGGAAGTAGTTTCTGCAAGCTTTGTAGTACACAGTAGTACTGGGAAGTGTTTTGTGCAAGCTTTGTAGTACAAAGTAGTGCTGGGAACGACTTTGTGCAAGCTGTGTAGTGCAAAGTAGTACTGGGAAGTGCTTTGTGCAAGCTGTGTAGTACAAAGTAATACAAAGTAGTACTGGAAACGACTTTGCGCAAGCTTTGTAGTACAAAGTAGTACTGGGAAGTGCTTTGTGCAATCTGTGTAGTACAAAGTAGTACTGGGAACGACTTTGTGCAAGCTTTGTAGTACAAAGTAGTACTGGGAAGTACTTTGTGCAAGCTTTGTAGTACAAAGTAGTACTTGGAAGTACTTTGCGCAAGCTTTGTAGTACAAAGTAGTACTGGGAAGTGCTTTGTGCAATCTGTGTAGTACAAAGTAGTACTGGGAACGTGCTTTGTGCAAGCTTTGTAGTACAAAGTAGTACTGGGAACGACTTTGTGCAAGCTGTGTTGTACAAAGTAGTACTGGGAAGTGCTTTGTGCAAGCATTGTAGTACAAAGTAGTACTGGGAAGTACTTTGTGCAAGTTTTGTAGTGCAAAGTAGTACTGGGAAGTACTTTGTGCAAGCTTTGTAGTACAAAGTAGTACTGGGAAGTGCTTTGTGCAAGCTTTGTAGTACAAAGTAGTACTGGGAACGACTTTTTGCAAGTTTTGTAGTACAAAGTAGTACTGGGAAGTAGTTTCTGCAAGCTTTGTAGTACACAGTAGTACTGGGAAGTGCTTTGTGCAAGCTTTGTAGTACAAAGTAGTACTGGGAACGACTTTCTGCAATCTGTGTAGTACAAAGTAGTACTGGGAACGACTTTGTGCAAGCTTTGTAGTACAAAGTAGTACTGGGAAGTACTTTGTGCAAGCTTTGTAGTACAAAGTAGTACTTGGAAGTACTTTGCGCAAGCTTTGTAGTACAAAGTAGTACTGGGAAGTGCTTTGTGCAATCTGTGTAGTACAAAGTAGTACTGGGAACGTGCTTTGTGCAAGCTTTGTAGTACAAAGTAGTACTGGGAACGACTTTGTGCAAGCTGTGTGTACAAAGTAGTACTGGGAAGTGCTTTGTGCAAGCATTGTAGTACAAAGTAGTACTGGGAAGTACTTTGTGCAAGTTTTGTAGTGCAAAGTAGTACTGGGAAGTACTTTGTGCAAGCTTTGTAGTACAAAGTAGTACTGGGAAGTACTTTGTGCAAGCTTTGTAGTACAAAGTAGTACTGGGAACGACTTTTTGCAAGTTTTGTAGTACAAAGTAGTACTGGGAAGTAGTTTCTGCAAGCTTTGTAGTACACAGTAGTACTGGGAAGTGCTTTGTGCAAGCTTTGTAGTACAAAGTAGTACTGGGAACGACTTTCTGCAAGCTGTGTAGTGCAAAGTAGTACTGGGAACTGGGAACGTAGTACTTTGTGCAAGCTTTGTTAGTGCAGAGTAGTACTGGGAAGTAGTTTCTGCAAGCTTTGTAGTACACAGTAGTACTGGGAAGTGCTTTGTGCAAGCTTTGTAGTACAAAGTAGTGCTGGGAACGACTTTGTGCAAGCTGTGTAGTGCAAAGTAGTACTGGGAAGTGCTTTGTGCAAGCTGTGTAGTACAAAGTAGTACAAAGTAGTACTGGAAACGACTTTGCGCAAGCTTTGTAGTACAAAGTAGTACTGGGAAGTGCTTTGTGCAATCTGTGTAGTACAAAGTAGTACTGGGAACGACTTTGTGCAAGCTTTGTAGTACAAAGTAGTACTGGGAAGTACTTTGTGCAAGCTTTGTAGTACAAAGTAGTACTTGGAAGTACTTTGCGCAAGCTTTGTAGTACAAAGTAGTACTGGGAAGTGCTTTGTGCAATCTGTGTAGTACAAAGTAGTACTGGGAACGACTTTGTGCAAGCTTTGTAGTACAAAGTAGTACTGGGAACGACTTTGTGCAAGCTTTGTAGTACAAAGTAGTACTTGGAAGTACTTTGTGCAAGCTTTGTAGTACACAGTAGTACTGGGAAGTGCCTTGTGCAAGCTTTGTAGTACAAAGTAGTACTGGGAAGTGCTGTGTGCAAACTTTGTGTAAAGTAAGGATTGTGGAGTGTAAAGTGTGGAGTGGGGAGTGTGGAGTGTGTAAACTGTAGAGTGTGGAGTGTGGATCTTAGAGTGTAAAGTGTAGAGTTTAAAGTCTAGAGTGTGGAGTGTGGAATGTAAAGTGTAGAGTGCAAAGTGTGGAGTGTAAAGTGTTGAGTCTGGAGTGGGGAGTGTAAAGTATAAAGTGTGGAGTGTGGAGTGTAAAGTGTGGAGTGTGGAGTGTAGAGTGTGGAGTGGAAAGTGCCGAGTGTGGAGTGTAGAGTGAGGAGTTTGGAGTGTAAAGTGTGGAGCGTGCAGTGGGTAAAGTGTGGACTGTTGAGTGTGGAGTGAGGAGTGTGGTGTGTGTGGAGTGGGGAGTGTGGAGTGTAAAGTGTAGAGTGTGGAGTGTGGAGTGTGGAGTGGAAAGTGTCGAGTGTGGAGTGTAAAGTGTGGAGTGTAAAGTGTTGAGTGTGGAGTGAGGAGTGTAAAGTGTAAAGTGTGGAGTGTAAAGTGTAGAGTGTGGAGTGGGGAGTGTGGAGTGGAAAGTGTGGAGTGTAGAGTGTAAAGTGTCGAGTGTGGAGTGTAATGTGTGGAGTGTGTGGAGTGTGGAGTGTAAAGTGTGGAGTGAGGAGTGTGGAGTGTGAAGAGTGTAGAGTGTGGTGGAGTGTGGAGTGTTGTGGAGTGTGGCGTGTGGAGTGAGGAGGGTGGAGTGTAAAGTGTGAAGTGTGGAGTGTGCAGTGTGGAGAGTGGAGTGTAAAGTGTAGAGTGTGGAGTGTGAAGTGTGGAGTGTAAAGTGTGGAGTGAGGAGTGTAAAGTGGAGAGCGTGGAGTGTAAAGTGTAAAGTGTGGAGTGTAGAGTGTAAAGTGTAGAGTGTGGAGTGTGGAGTGTAAAGTGTGGAGTGAGGAGTGCAGAGTGCAAAGTGCAAAGTGTGGAGTTTAAAGTGTAGAGTGTGGAGTGAGGAGTGCGGAGTGTGGAGTGTAAAGTGTAGAGTGCGGAGTGTGGAGTGTGCAGTGGGTAAAGTGTGGAGTGTGGCAGGTGTTGGTGATCTCGTTATGCTGGTGATGTTGTGCTGGTGATTTCGTTGTGCTGGTGATTTCGTTGTGCTAGCTGTTTCGTTTGTTCTGGTGATTTTGGTGCGCTGGTGTTGTTCGCTGGTGATTTCGTTGTGCCGGTGATTTTGTTGCGCTGGTGATGTTCGCTGGTGCGTTCGTTGTGCTGGTGACTTCGCTGCGCTGGTGATGTTGTTGTGCTGGTGATTTTGTTGCGCTGGTGATTTCGTTGCGCTGGTGATGTTGTTGTGCTGGTGGTGATTTCGTTGTGCTGGTGGTGATGTTGTTGTGCTGGTTAGTTGTCTCTTTGTGAACTGTTGCCCAGGTGCCTTCGCTGAGACGAAAAGGTTCGTTTTCCTATTGCAGAGGTTTGCACTTCGTAGTCCAAGAACGTGACTACATTCAGGTTCGTGGTTTCCATCTTCTTTGAGAAAAAGGACTGGACTTTTCGAAGGGCAATGCATATTTTCAGCAAATACTGGTTGTATCGTTCAAAGAAAACATGCATGTTGTAAAGAGGTCATATATCAAGGAAGTTTTCCTTTGGGTTTTGAAACAAAAATCTCAAGAAAGTTACATCAGCATCAACCGTTGAAAGGACTAAACTATGCAATTTCGGGTTGTTGGCGTTGTTTGATTTGCGTCAACTAAACAACAAACAACATCTTATTTGTTTCTCATTTTCCACGCCGTGAAAACAGCATTCAAGTGATTCACACAAAGAATAACTGATGCACTTAAAGCTAGATTTCTCTGAACACATTATAGTTTTTGCTTTTCAGTTCGTGCAGTTTTCTTTATCGCTGATTTGAATGTATCACCTTGAATTTCCGATTCATGTGGAGACCAAGAAGTCGCCTATTACTTGTTTGCATTCTCTTTAACCAGCATTCTTTGCCATGGATTATACAGGTTTTTTTCGTTTTTTCTTGTGTTTTACGTGGTTTCTCCTCAATTGACGTATCACTGTATCAAACACTAGCCTTTGAATTCTGTTGTTGGGACAATACGAGTAGGTACGCGTACCAAAACCCAAATCCAAAATTTCAAGAATCCCACATTGCTCAGGAATCCCGCGGGAAAGCTCTGGTTTTTCAGTACATATAGAGGAGGTATCCACTCATTGGCATTCTTCCACTTTTTGCGCTTCAAAGCAAAATCTGAGCGTATTTTTCGGGGAAATTAGCGTAAATATGCGTAAATACTGTAAATACAAGGTAAAAAACTCAAATACCAATCTGTCAGGACACAAATGCACGTGTCTTAGTTCAAGTAAGCATAAAAAGTCAGAATGAAAGCAAATCCAACCAAAAAATGTTATGAGCAGAAAAAACAAGTGCTACTTAATTGAAGATCCGGATATGAAGTGTAAGAGAGAAATAAGTTGATGCACTTAGCGATGCAGATTGCAGCTTGCAAGTCTAGAATGGTCTTGAAAGCTGACAGTGCTGGGCACGTTCTCAGAGGAGTTGCAATTGGTGGCAGCACCAGTAGCAATAGCATAACAACGAATCTGCCGGCAAAACCAGGGCCTCAGACATCTGGTGCTGAATTTGGTCAGGCTGAACTATACTCAGCTACGTTGTATGACAGCGATGCTTCGGCTTCTCCCATCGGCTTGGGTCAGGAAAGAGCCAGTGTTCCCGAGACGCAATGATGCGTGTTTCATCGATTTTCAGCCAGTTTTTGCATGTTTTTGCGCAGCAGTGATTCCTTGTTGGCTTATAAGCGCGCAATGTTGACATACACGAGGGGTCAAAAGGAACGTTGTTCTCCAGTAGAGATCCACCCCGTTTGTATCAGCTTTTGATGGCACAGCTTGACTCTATGGATGGAGACGAAATCAGAGTGTACTGCAGTAACAAGGGCAACTGAACTTACACAGAGACATTTGCCGATCCTCAGGCTTGGTTCGAACAGTATAACCCACAGGCCTTTGTGCAGTCTCAACGTTTCGAGTCTTGCTTGTAATGCTCACGTGGTGTTTCCTTGCAAAAGCCACTATAGCCAAAAACATCGTGATTTGTTCACTTTCGGTTGCCACGAATGCTAATGATTAGGGGTGTATTCGCACATGTTTTCAGTATGGGGAAACTCCTTTTTGAACCGTGTTAAATTCACCCACCATCGAATTTAAAGTAGTTGTCAGTACAATCCAAGCGTGAGCTTGGTAGTTTAATCGGTTGCTGTTCCGCCCACAAATGGAGAGACACTTTTTTTGCGTATAGAGTGTAGACCCACCGCATGTTTGGTTGGTTCATATAGCCAAGATCGGCGGCAATATACCCATTGCTGCTGTCCCAATCAAATTGAGGCTATGGACCATAGACTGTGTGAATTTCCTGAAGATGTCCAGCAAAAGAATATGTCAGTTCATTTCTACATCCATCATTCTTCTTGAGCCACCCAATGGCCAACATGTGTGGTCTTAGAAGTACGTACGTACAACAATTGCCCATGCGGATCATTGTGTCACCAATTGGATGATCCAGATATGTACAGATCAAATGTTGAACATGTTGAACTAGGCTATTTTTGGGGTTTAAGGGTATTCTAGGCGGGAAGGGGGTTAACGTATGTTAACGTACAGCAGGTGTATGATAGCTCGAAGGTCTCTAGATTTCATGAGAGTTGCCCTCTCCTCCTCTTCCTCTTGGCATTCTATCTGGCATTTTCTCTGACATATGCTCTGCCATTCTATCTGACATATGTTCTGACATTCTATCTGACATGCTTTCTGGCATTCTATCTGGCGTTCTTTCTGGCATTCTATCTGACATTCTATCTGGCATTCTATCTGGCATTCTATCTGGCATGCTGTCTGGCATTCTATCTGGCATTCTTTCTGACATTCTTTCTGCCATTCTATCTGGCATTCTTTCTGGCATTCTATCTGACATTCTATCTGGCATTCTATCTGGCATTCTTTCTGGCATACTATCTGGTATTCTATCTGGAAATCTATCTGGCATTCTATCTGACATTCTATTTGGAATTCTATCTGGCATTCTTTCTGGCATTCTTTCTGGCATTCTATCTGGCATTCTATCTTGCATTCTATCTTGCATTCTATCTGACATTCTATCTGACATTCTATCTGGCCTTGAGATCCGGCAGTGCCGACTGGGATGTGGAGCTCGCCGTTCAGGCCGGGTAGTGCCCACTGAGATCGAGAGCTCGCGGTTGAGGTCCGGCGTTGTTGACTGGGATCGGGAGCTCGCTGTTGAGGTCCGGCAGTGCCCACTGGGATCTGGAGCTCGCGGTTGAGGTCCGGCGTTGCCCACTGGGATCTGGAGCTCGCCGTTGTGGTCCGGCGTTGCCCACTGGGATCTGGAGCTCGCCGTTGAGGTCCGGCAGTGCCCACTGGGATCCGGACCTCGCTATTGAGGTCCGGCGTTGCCCATTGGGATCAGGAGCTCGCGGTTGAGCCCGGCGTTTCTCACTGGGATCGGGAGCTCGCCGTTGAGGTCTGGCAGTGCCCACTGGGATCTTGAGCTGGCAGATGGGAGGCAGCGGGAGGTTTTCCACCCCCCCTCCGTCCCCCCCGCACAGCCATGGTAAAATCTAGTAACCCTCACCTGGCAGGTGGAGAAATAAGTCCAACGTTTCCGGTCATGGCAACAGGCCACATAAATTGAGAAAAGCCAAAAGAAATCAGAAGACTATCTTCCAGAACGAAAATATTGACAACAATCAGGTACACATGAAACCGTTACTTCTGATCTCACACACAATCCAAAGCACCCTTTTGAAACAAGGCTTCGCGATGTCGTCCCCTTCTTGCAGTCATCCTGCGGCAATGGCCTCGCAGAGCGACATGCTTGGAAATGGGAAAGATCACAGTTAAGTCCCACAAACAAGACGTGTGAGAAGGAGAGACCGAATACAGTTAATAGAGATGAAGCTGGAGTGGGTTCTCGGGTCCGGGGTCTGAATCGTGATCACACCAGGTCCAAAAAAAATAGCGCAACAAGACCGCGACGGTATGTTTAATGGAACCCATTTCTTTGAGGGCGACATCTGACAGAACAGCTTCACCCATTTGCAGCAAGACCTACAGGTCTACCAAAAGAGACACGAACAAGTGAATACATGTCAATTGCAAACCCGTCGGAAACCAGGCACCGTCCACGAGATGAATCAGGAAGAATGCGCCTCAGCAGGACGAAGCGTGTGAATGCAACGGCAAACACAATGAAGACAAAACCATAAACCAATGACATGCCTCCTCAACCACAACCCTTGATGGCGAGAGCGAAAGAAACAGAAAGCACCCTATCTGTGGCCAAACCTAGCATAAGAAGTTACGAGTACTTTCCAGACACAGGTGTGGTTCACCAAAGCAAGAATCCTAAATCGAAGAAGGTAGATCCAAACAGGTAAAAGCCAAGGATCAAACAACACACAGACTTGTATGAGTACGCAGCACACAAGCATGGTGTGCAAAAGTTATGACCATGGCATTCATATCTTGTGTATTGCGTGGGTACCCGTCGCAACCAAGGCACTTTCCCAAGAGTTCTGAGAGCACAGAGGAGCTGACAGACAGCGTTAGCGCAGACCCGTCGCAACAAAAATCCATGGACAGCGCTGCGAAAACACAACTATGCAGCAACTTCGAAAAAAACACTGTGGCGAGAACCAGCACCTTTCTGCAGCAAAGACAAAAAAACGTCCTTTTCAAAAAGGACCAAGCAAAAGACTCCAGGAGTCTCTAGGTATATATACATATATAAATATATGTATAATATATATATATATATATATACATATATATATATATGTGTGTGTGTATGGCACGTCGTCCTGCCACGTCATTTCTGGAATATCTTTGTGTCATCGGTTTCTGGCAGGAAAGAGGATGAGAAAACAAAGGTTTCTAGACTTCATCCGAGTTGTCTATATACGACTATGTATACGACTATATATACAACTATGTACTCTACCAAAGAAAGTCCGATATAGACGACTATACGACCAGTACTACCGCACAAGACGATGACGGAAATTTAAAGATAGGAACCTTTTGGAGAGGTTGGTTGCTGTGAAGGATAGATGGCAGAGCGAGCCAACTGATGGACCGACAAGTGGTTGGAGGCAGCGCAGTGTAGTTAGTTCTAATGTAATGTAGTTGTAGTTGTGCTTGCCGTTGTAGCTGTAGAATGTTGTAGATGTAGTTGTGGTTGTAACAGTAATGTAGTTGTAGTGAAAGTGCAGTGCAGTGTAGTGTAGTGTTAGTTGTAGTTTGCCCGTTCCAGTTGCCCGTTCCGGTTGCCCGGTTGGCCGGCTGACCGTGGCCCGGTTGCCCGTTCCGGTTGCCCGTACTACTACTAGTACTAGTACTACTACTGCGACTCCTACTACAACAAGTAGTACTAGCACTAGTACTAGTACTAGCACTAGTACCACTAGTACTACTAGTACTACTAGCACTACTAGTACTACTGCTACTACTACTACTACTACACCACTACTACACCACCACTACCACCACTACCACCACTACTACCACTACCACTACCACTACCACTACCACTACCACTACCACTACCACTACTACACTACCACTACCACTACCACTACCACTACCACTACTACTACTACTACTACTACTACTACTACTACTACTGGTACTGGTACTGGTACTGGTACTCGTACTACTACTACTACTACTACTACTACTACTACTACTACTTGAACCGTGGAACCGTGTGCCACGGTTCGGGCTCCACGGTTTCACAATTGAACCGTGCAACCGTGGGCCACGGTTTGGGCTCCACGGTTCGGGCTCCACGGTTTCACAGTTGAACCGTGGAACCGTACGCCCGTCCGCCACGGTTCAACCGTGGAACCGTACGCCGCGGTTCGGGCTCCACGGTTCCACGGTTGAACCGTGGAACCGTGTGTCACGGTTCGGGTTCCACGGTTCCACGGTTGAACCGTGGAAACGTGGGCCACGGTTCGAGCTCCACGGTTTCACGGTTTCCACGGTTGAGTTCCACGGTTCACGGTTGGAGAGTGCCCGGCTCCGCCCTTCTCTGCTTTTCATGCTTTTGCTTTTTTCTTGGATGTGCGTTTGGGCTGCCATCAAATATTAGCTGCAGAAACCAGGACATAGAAATAAGGATGAACATCATACACGTGTCAATACAATGACTGCCGCACAAGTTAAATTCGGCAATTTGTGGAGGGGACCCTTCTTTGAACTTCAAATTGCCTTTTTTAGTAAAGAAAGTTGTCAAAAACTGGTCCGTTTGGGAAACTATGTTTTTCTCAAATCCTGATCTAAAAGTTATTGACATATTACTTTTTTGTTTAAGGGTGTTTGCGTGTAATTTCTTCTCTTCCTCCTCATGCTTTTTCTGCTTTTGCTTTTTTCTTGGATATGTGTTTGGGCTGCCACTACTACGACGGCGACTACTACGACTAGTACTACTACTACTGCTGCTGCTGCTGCTACTGCTACTGCTACTGCTGCTGCTACTGCTACTTCTACTGCTACAACAACTATACTACTACGACTAGTACTACTACTACTACTACTACTACTACTACTACTACTACTACTACTACTACTACTACTACTACTACTACTACTACTACTACTACTGGCCGGTCAGCCGGCCAGCCGGTCGGTCAACCGGTTGGCCGGCCGGCCAGCCGGTTGGCCGGTCGGTCGGCGGTTGGCCGGTCAGCCGGTCGGCCGGTCGGCCAACCGGGCCGGTTGGTCGGCCGGCCGGTCAGCCGGCCGCCCGGTTGGCCGGTCGGTCAGCCGGTTGGCCGGTCGGTCGGCGGTTGGCCGGTCAGCCAGTTGGCCGGTCGGCCAACCGGGCCCGGTCAACCGGGCCGGTCAGCCCGGTTGCCCGGTCACCGGTCAAAACCCCCCTGGTACCGCCCTTCTGGAGTATGGCGGTAACCGGCCGACCGGACCGGGCAACCGGCTGACCGGATCCCGGTTGACCCCTCCCCTC